TCAAAATCTGAGTCTACTAATATGCATTTCAAAGCTTTTACTTCATTTTCATTTTTTAGTGAAAATCTTAATAAGTTCTCAACATGAAAATTCGACAAAAAATGAAGTAGTCGGATAAAATAGGAATACAGATTTAGAAAAAATGAATTTCCTCTAGAATGAGACATCTCCCAGCTTTATACGACCTTTCTTTGAAAAGTTATAGAATTTACAATAAAAGCCCTAAATTAATTTCTTCTTATTTCTGAAGCCTTGAGCTGACAATGAGCATTTAGGGCTTTTCTTGTAAATTCTATAACTTTGCAAAGAAAGGCTGTGTAAAGCTGGGAGAGGTCTCATTTTAATCAGATATGTGCGGGCTACAATCATGCCTCATTAAGAAAGGTTTGGGTTATATTTTAGTTTCTGAAAAACTGGTTTTCTAGAAAACCAGATTTCCGAATGGCTAAGGGCAACACCTATGATCATATTCGTAATCAGCATGGTCGATAACCTATAACCCACTAGATTCCGAGCAAAAAGCGTTTAATCACCTCGAAAGGTTCCCTCGTAAGTATCTAGTAGAAAAATCGAATGATTTTTAAAAAGTACCAATTTTCAATAAATCGTATCTGAATTAAGAATTTAAGAATAATTGTGGCTATCATGATAAGAATTTTAATAAAAGTTTTAATATAAATAAAAAATTAAAACTAAAACCAATGATTAAAATTACAATTCGATATTTTGACTTATTGATACGGTCATTTTCAAGTTGTTCCTCGTACAAAAAATTACATAAAAATGAAACAGTACAACTGGCTACATACATCTAATGTTTTTTCGTCTTTCTTCCTGTACCAGAGAAAAGAAGAATTCTATCCGTTTGACGAACAAAGGAGCAAGAAGGAGAACGAGATATGATATATGGAGAAATTTGGTTGAATGTAAATGTTGTGTTTGTTATATTATTTTTCTCCTAATAAAACTGCTTGATCTTGGATAAAATTTAAAACATTAGTGATGAATCATATGAATAGTAAGAGGATATAGAGTATTTTGGAGTAATTAGAGACGATCTTTGAAATTTCCATCCTTTCTCTGCTATTTCTTGACCATTTTCGATCGGAAAAACTATTGAACACGATAGTAGACCGAACATTTTTCTACACACTCGTGTAAAAATCTTTTGAAAATCTGCGGCCAATTTTGAGTCAGATCCAAAATGCGAAAAGGTCCGTCAAAGTGTCTCTAATTACCCCGTACGGAGTAATTAGAGACACTTCACTTGTACGCTTAGAGTAAATAGAGAGACTCCACTGAAATACACGGGATTCTCAGAAACAAACCTCTACCGTCTCTCAGAAGTCGATTTTGGTATTATACCAAATGACAAAGTTCTTCAGAATGCTGAACTCTATCACATATGTGAAAACCGGAAGAAAATAAAATATTTTCAGCGGTTTCTGTGCACACAATGAATATTGCCGATTTTAAACACATTTTTTTCATTAAAGTTGTCAAAATAATTAAGCTAGAGTCATTATTAATAGTCAAATTCCAATCACGTTGAACGTTTCATATACCTTATACGATTCTCTTCATATTATACCAAAAATTTTTTATAGAGCATGTGGTCGAATCGGCAGTTTTGTGCACGAATGTTTGCTCTACAAAATAAGATGTTCCAGACTTTCTTACGATGGTTTGTCGATGATATATGAATTTTTTATCGGAAAGACAGACCCTCTAATCATCAACAAAACCACGTTTTACTCTTAAATTTAAAGAAGTTTATATCTCAGGCATAAACTGTCGCTTAATGGAAACAACTAGAACCGGGAAAGCGTATTCAAAAAAGCACAGCAACAGATTTCACAATCATTTAGTTGTTTTTCGCAGTTAAGTGTCTGCGAGTTAGTATAGAAATCAGTTCAGAAAATGAAAATATGTTTAGTTTTATTGCAGAAACTATAGCAAAAAACTTGAGCACATGAAGTTTTTTGCAACTAAAATGTCTTGTATGTCAAAAAATGTTGTATTATTAGACAAATCAGATATTTACTCTCATTTTTGAAATTTTTCGATTTACTCCGAAATCGGAGGATCTCCTCTCTGCGTCTTGTACTTCACGGCTTCCCTGACAATACATTCATATTCCTTTACCCTCTCCCCTCCTCCTTGGTCACGAGAGTGTTCAAACTACTCTGCACAAACGAGAGTGCGCCTAATCGGTCTGTCCATACTATTGCCATATTGGAGACACCAATACTCTATTCCAGTAGTTGTTTCATCAGTGGCTCTTCTGGAACCACTGTGGGGGGAAAGGGATATTCTAGACCCAGAACTCTTTTTGAATCTTATTAATGAACAGAAGTGGTCTCAATTATGAATTAACCCTAATTAAAGAAAGAATACAAAGTATTCCGTTTCTTGTAAAGTTTTCATTTTAGTGAAAAGATCGAGTATGCTTTAATAAGTTGCTTGAAGCTTATACATCTATCAGAGAGATAATAGATTCAGTCGTTCACTAATAAAACTCGACAATACTTAAAAATATCAAATGTTTGGTTACGCTTGTTATTCTAAATACAAAATTTGTATCTATCCAAGTACCAAGGTTTCAAGTTCCACTGCTATCTGAAAATTGATCTGCACTTGCTTATTTACGTATTTTTCATATAAAAAAAGAAAAAAGCATTACACAAAAAGAAATATATTGAATATGTCCGGTATAAAAATGAGAGAAAACTGAGACTCTTCATCTAAATACATTGTAGCGGAAACATGAAATAAAAAACAGTACCACAGAAAAAAAATTTACAGACAAAAAAACAGATAAAAAAATGAATAAGTATAATGGTTCAAACAGGCTGCTCGTTTAAAGAACCTGTCTAGCTGCCTGACTGCCACTAGAATGCAAAAACAGAACATACACAATAGAAGGCTAAGACTATATTACGATCCGTTAGTCATTGATGAATTAGGTATTAACAGGTAAAAGTTTATCTTTTGCATACTGTTGCGTGGGTATTTTCCAAAACTGTTCAGCATCTTCGATTGTTTTATTTTTTGTTTCGGGCATTTTCACGAATAAAAATGCCAAATGTAACAGAACCAAAACGGAAAATATGAGAAACACATAACCACCTAGTATTGAATTTAATGCCGGAAAAAATAATGACAGTAAAATGTTTCCAAAATAATTGGCTACGAGACCTAATGCTTGAACACTATCACGTGCCTCTGAACGACATACTTCTGATGAATATATAAACGGTATTGGACCAAGACCAACAGCAAAACAAACAATAAATAGGAGAACGAAAATAACGCTAAGCCATCCTAATACTGGATTATTTTTTCTTTCATTGATTTCGACTAAAGTGGTTAATATACCAAATACAATAACAATAACAGCCATTGGATAGATAATCAATGCTCGACGACCAACTTTTTCGATTAATGGCAATGTGGCAATTGTTGCCAGTACATTAATAATACCTGTACCGATGTTGGCATAGGGTATCAATTCTTCTCTTACACCTGCTTTTTCGAACATTTTCGATGAATAGAAAAAGACCGCATTTACACCAGATAATGCTTGAGCAAATTGTAATACAACAGTAGTTAACATTGGCCATCGATAACGTGGTGTTGTTAGAACAGCTAGAATTGATAATGATTCAGTACCACCTTCTTCTCGTGTCTGACGACGAATATTATTCAAATCACTATGAACATCTTGGACATTACGCAACTTTTTCAAATCAATTTCCGCTTGTTTTTCATCGTTATATTTGCGTATTAATTGTGTGGGTGAATTTGGTACGAGTAATAGAAGGCCGGTGGCAATCAGTGGTAAAATGAACACAAGTCCTAAACCCCAACCCCAGCCGTGACATGTTCCAGCGATGAACGGTAAACCGACAACTTGTGCCACTAAAATACCAAGGGTTAATGCTAATTGAAATGATGAACCAGCTGCACCACGTACGCGTTGTGAAGAAATCTCTCCAATATACGGTGGAACAATAACACACGCCATTCCTCCCTGATAACCCATTAAAAGACGTGATATGTAAAACAACCATATATGACGTGTATAGTAGGATAATAGAACACATAATGATGATGCAAAACAAAATACAAAATTGGCATAAACAGTTTTTTTACGATCCAGATAATTTGGCCAAAGTGGACCAGTTAATGCACCAATAAAAGCTCCAATCAAAAATACTGTTTGTGGTATGCCTTTGATCAATTCGAGTACAAAGTTAAAATGAGGCTTAATTCGTTGACTTGTTTTTATTGTAGTTGTATCGTCGATATTAATTCCCAAGTTAACATTGATATCCGGTCTGGCTGTGGATATTGATGTTAATAATAATCGTGAATCATAACATGGATCAGTACCATTTAAAAATTTTTCAGTAAACCGACTGTATTGATTTGGTGCGCCAAGACCCCAACCAAAAACGAATCCAGTTGACATTGTTAGCACGATACATGATATTAATAACCATGGTGTACAACCTTTTTGTGTTGAATCCGTTGCTTCTGTGCCGGTTATAAATGCTTTACTTATTGAATCGTCGTCAGTCATTTAAATAAGGATCAGTCAAAAAAGCAGCAAAGGCGAATCAAAAAAATTGACACAGAAAATAGTGACCGTGACTATTTTTGAATAACTTCAGATTGTTGATATTTGGAGGGTTGCGCTTCGTGCTTTACATGCTGCTAAATCTGGTAGTACTGTAAGCTCAAAGCAAATACTTTAGGCCTCCTTGAAGAGTTTTCTGAAAAACGTTGAAAATACAAATAGATTTTTTTCACAGTTTGAATATACGATCTTGTACAGCAGCTAAACTAGAATATATTTTGAACTCTTGAATTCTTCTGAACCAGTTTTAAGTGAGTTAGAAATTTGGTTCAGCATGCAAATGGCCTGAAATGCAATATTTCACTTAATGTAAATGTTTACTGAACTTTTTAAGTTTTCTGAAAACAAGCATTGTCACGAGACTCACGTCAGCCTAGCTAATAACTACTATCCATTTCAAAATATAGTGGAATCCATTGTTTTTTGAATAACTCTTAATAGAGACCTGCGGTTATCAGTTTTAATGAGAAAAACGTTGAGGCTATCAAAATATATAAAAATAATTATAAAATTACCGCTTGCCGATGGGAAGCCTCATCAAGACGTTTTGCAAAAGGTATTTCTTCACTAAAAAAGTTTCGAATTATGGATGCCAAGAGGTAGGTTCGAATCGGCAGATATTACTCTACAAAACTACATAAGTGCCAAGGTTCCATCGCTATAAGATTTTTCAAACTCAGCCAAAACTGTTCGAAACTGATTGAGTATATCAACATATACCCGATTTTATTTGCGTTACACCATGTAGTTCAATAACAGTTTCAAAAACCAACAGAAAGTACTTGGGTTTTTGAAAGGTTTTCTAGAAAGCTTTCAGAATAAGGGAATATTTCATACATATTTCTACTACAAAATACGGTTAGACAAATAAAATAGAGCCTACGCAGATATTTTAAAGCAGTTTGGAAGAGTTTTGACTGAGTTACGAATTTTTTATTTTTCGGTGCAAATAGCGAAAACCTATGATC